ATAACGAGGTTAGTTCAATCAGGGAGGATGGGGCCCTCTTCTAGCAGTTGAGGTGTGAACACCAAGGGAGGAGAAACTGCTTTTGTAGTTGGCTAGCCATTCACAGTCTTTGTTTAATCCTGAGCTGATGGGGTCAAATTTGCAAATGAACTGAAGCTCAGCGGTTTCTCTTTGAAGTCTGCTCCTGAAGTTTTTTTGCTGCAGGATGGCTACCTTTAAATCTGCTATTGTGTGTCTAGGGAGGTTGAAGTGTTCTCCTACAGGTTTTTGCATATTGCCATTCCTAATATCTGACTTGTGTCCATTTATCCTTTTACGTAGGGATTGTACAGTTTGGCCAATGTACATAGTAGAGGAGCATTGCTGGCACATGATGGCGTATTTTACATTAGTGTATGTGGGAACAGGTGGTAGATCCCATCCCCATGCAAAGCAAGTGTCCTTCTCTTTTTACTTTTATTCTTTGAGCATGTAGTGGAGGGGAACTGATTCCAACTCTGACAGGATCTCAGCCATTTCCTCTATAGCAATGGAAGCCACTTGGCCTCTAGGCCATCAGAGAGAATTGAATGAGATCCTGGGCGGAAGCTTCCAAAGGCCATATTCTGAAATGGAGCTCTGCCCAAGCATGGATGAGGGGGTTTCTGAGAAGGGCAGAGGGCTGTGGATGTCACACGGGGTTAAGTCATAGTTTAAGGCAAAGAGAGCTTGGAATGCCTGAAATACCAGCACACTGAAATTGGCATTCCAAGGCAGGGGGCTGCAAGTCCCCCATACTGAGATGCCTAACTGAACATCACAGCCTGCAACGCTAGCAAATGTGGTTATGAGGGTGGAGATGAAAGGATGGGAGAAGCTGAACCCTACCAAAAGTAGTGGGGGAAAGCTACCTCCAAAGCAGGGACTTCCAAAGCTTAATAGAAAGGAAGAGCAATTAGTCCGAGGAGAAGAGTGTTGTCTCTGCAGCAAGAAGCTCTGCAACGGATGGAGATGAAAGCAAAGCCAGGACCTCAGATCCAAACAAGCAGCAACATCGCCAAAGAAGCTCAAAATGAGTCTGACCACAAAGAGGCTCAGGGAGCGGACTCTGGAAAGGACAGAGAAGGGATTCTGATGTCTGTTCTCCGAGAGAAATGCATTACCTAGCCCAGAGAGTTAATTTATATATGAAAACACTATCTCTGACAAAAGACCGGTATCTACTAAATAGGTAGAAATTACACTTATGGTCCATAACATGTTGAAGGAATGGGTAAAGGCTGAGGGGCCCTGGATCAAAAGGTCATTGCAGCATATTGTATATACACACACAACTGCAGCAAGTAGGCTATGAAAGTCTTGGAAAGGACAGGAGGCAGAGACTAGACCAAAGAGAATAGTGCAGACCTGGAGCTGAAGAGTCCCCACAGGGATGCAGATTACAATGATGGGCTATATGAATGGGGATCCTCTGTGGAAGTACAGTAACTCCTCACTTAAAGTCATCCCGGTTAATGTTGTTACGTTGCTGATCAATTAGAGAACATGCTCATTTAAAGTTGTGCACTGCTCCCTTATAACGTTGTTTGGCAGCTGCCTGCTTTGTCCACTGCTTGCAGAAAGAAGAGCCCGTTGGAGCTAGCTGGTGGGGGCTTGGAACCAAGGTGGACCGGAAGCCCCCCGTAAGTTCTCTGTGTGGCAGCTGCCCCGCAGGCTATCAATTGCCAGGCAGTTCATCTGTCCCTCCCCCCACTGCCGTGTGCTGCTCCTGTCCTGTCTTGGAGCTGCTACCGGGAGCCTCTTGCTTGCTGTGCAGACAGGCAGGGAAGAGGGGTGCTAATGTCAGGGTATCCTCCTCCCCCTGCTCCTGTACCTCATCTCCACAGAGTGGGAGGGGGACACACAACAGAGGTTACTGGCAGCAGCTGCTGTCTCAACTTGCTGATCTATTTAAAAAAGGCAGTGTACTTAGAGTGGGGTCAAAGTATTTAAAGGGGCAATGCACATCTTTCTCTCACAAAGGTGTGTGTCTCTGTCTCTCTCTGCCATTCTGTCTCCCCTCCCTCCATTTGTGCTGCCTTGTAGAGTGTAAAGCTACATTAACAATGTGTTAACCCTTGAGGGCTCAGCCGAGTGCTAGTTCATCATTTATCAGTAAGGCATTCCCTGGGAAATATCCCACCCTCTGACTTCACCACCTCAGCCAAGCTTCACAATCATCATTGCTGTGTACAGTATTAAATTGTTTTTTTTTAAATTTAAACAGTGTATGTGTAGATATATAAAATATAGTCTTTTGTCTGGCAAAAAAAATTCCCTGGAACCTAACCCCCCGCCCCGCCATTTACATTATTTTTTATGGGGAAATTGGATTCACTTAACATGGTTTTGCTTAAAGTAGCATTTTTTCAGGAACATAACTACAACATTAAGCGAGAAGGCACTGTATGTATCCAGGTACAAATCATGTAGTCGGAAATGGTTTAATCTCCCAACTCCCTTCTCAATGTGGAAATCAGGGGGCATCTCCTGCACTACAGAGCACATGGATGCCATTCCAGGAGTGAGACCAACACACTGCTTCTGCATGGTGTGGTGGAACCCAGCACTAGAGCATAGAGTGCAGGCTATGTGCCAAGAGAACAGGGGGCAGGAGTGACCTGTGAGAGGATACCCACAGGAGAGGAGGCCAATACTAGGCCCTAGTGGAATGTAAGTGTATTTAGACCCCCCTACTGCCCACGTGTAAATGAGGTAGGGGACAATTGGGTTGACACATTAAAACCCACCGAAGAGGAAGGAGGAAAAATTGTGATGTGATAATGGGAACCAAGCTGTCCAATATCACAAGGTACACAGCTGCAGACAAGCCCCAGGTCTGCTGTTCCTTCAGGAACTCCTGCAATGGAGTAACTGAAGCAACTATGCAGAGTGAGGAAGTGCCAGGCTGAAGAGCCCTGCAGAGGCAGCTGGTAGAGCAAGTGGGAAGAGGGTCTCGGGGGCAGCAAAAAAAAGCACCTGTCCCTGAGAGAAGAGGTTATTCACTGGATGGACTGTGACAGAGCCGCTGGAAAGGGGAGGAGAGCTGCTTGTGCAAGGGTCTAAAAAGGGGCAGAAAAAAGGAATGGCTTTCCTTGCTGCCGTCCTTCCTGACTCTCCTCTCTGCAGACTTTTTATTTCCCACTCTCCTTTGTCTACGTTATTATATGCATCTTCTTGCTAGAGATGGTTAGTGAGGCTAGTGAACTGTGGAGCAGCAATCACCTTGCTCCAACTCACAGGAGTCCAACAAACGAGGGGAAAGGGCTGGCCTGCCGCTTAGGTACAGTCTATTAATTGACTGAAGTTTCCTCCTACTTCCTGACTGGTAGAACCTTAATGCTGATAATCAAGGTGTATAATGGCAGGAGACGGTTGCAGGCCAATATTAACTCACTGTTGTCACTACCAAAATTCGATGACGCCAAACACACACCAGAAGCAGATCTGGTGCGTAAGAGTGCCATTTGTACAGTCACTCTTCTTATCATAAATTTGAGGAAGATTAACTTTCCAGTTAAATTTTGATTTAAATAAGCATCCTTACATGCTACAACTAAAATTGTAATTGCAGAAGGACACCCGACTGATTGCAGATGAACAAGCTAATGGGAGTAATCATGTATGGTATCAACATCTTAATAGCTGGAGGAAGAAAATGTTAAATGAAAAGGAAAAACCCAGTAGCACTAAGAACGATCCAAAACGAAGATGCAGTCACCACTGGACGGCAGACCATTCAGGAATGATTGTGACTGACTAGTACGTTTGCGCTTTTGTTGGAGAAATGCTAAGAGGTGCACTATTGATTGTGCAATGAGTATTTTTAGACAGATGCCTTATCTTATCATGCAGTACAGTGCGATCTATCATTGCACAGTACGGAAAAATAAAGCAAATAAATTACTTAGTAACTTTGCAGTAAACACAAACCACCACTTCTCGCAGTCTAGAAATGTCCACAGCAGACTGTGCGGCATCTCACTTAGCAGGTCTTCCCAACTACCAGCCAATCCTGGCCTTAACAATATACAACTTTTCAAGAAATTAAAAAAAATTGTAAATCAAAATTAACCAAAACGTTTGCCTCACTTTCTTTTGGATTTTTTTTCTGTGTGTTTTTATTAAGGCAATTGGAAGAGGCTGACTCAGTGAGTATAATACAAAGCAAAGTAGTGAACATAAAATAAAGGGGTAAGATTAAGTACAGAAACTATGCACTATTATGTACAATTTGAAAACAAATGTATCAGGCAGTAATAGGATCTCGTTTATCTACATGCCACTAGATGTCATTTCTCTGCTTGTTTTTCTCTGAGACACAGGCCCTGGCATGGGGGGGAGCAAGGCAGGGGTTACAGGGAGTCTTGAAAATATAGTGAGATAGGAGGGTGGACCATGGAACTTGTAGGTGGGAATGGGGGAGTGCAAGGAGCCCCTGGCATGTGCAATGAGCTCAGCCTACAGAAGCAACAAAGTGTGCAACTCTCTTGCATTAGGGGAAATGTCTTATTCCCTTGTGCTGCCCAGTGGTCTCTGTATTCACAATCAAGGTTAGTTAAGCAGCTGAACGTCTGATCGAGTGCTTTTATAAATCCCTACATTGCTTTGGAGGGGAAGAAGGGCCCAGGTCCAGTGAAAGGTACTTTACACTGTGAGTATATAGGGCAGTTGAGTCAAACAAGCAAAGGACTGTTGGTGAAAGACACTAGGTAGCTTACTGACTGGCAAAGCAGCAGAACTGGGACTGGAATGGCAATGGTACAAAAAGGCATTGGTGACTACCTATATCTGCCATGAAGGAGGAAAAGCATGGAAAAAACATGGAGATAGTAGCTGCTGTGAATGGGCAAAGGTCATTGAGTAATCCATGAACCGCTAAACTGTTTAAATACATTGCATCCCATGCACAGATACTTCCTTGGTTCTACTCCTGTCTTGTTCTGCTCTGAGGAAAAGGTAATGAGATTGTTAGTGCTTACCTAAAAATGATGCAAGCAGCACTAGGAGCGTATTGATATCTTCTTCTTCAAAGCATGATGCAGCACTTGTGATATTTTCACTATAGTTCCACAGCGTTTTGCATATCAAGCAAGCCAACTGCCAGTCTGTAGGCCCAAAGTCTCTTAAACAATCAACTAACCTGTTAGTATGAAAAAAAAAAAGTTTTAATGTTCTGTTCAATTTTATTCTCTCTTGTTCCATTCAAAATCAAGCCAGTCTTAAAACATGTGCAGACCCAGCCCCTTCTAGGGGTGCAGGGAAACAGGGGCATCAGCACAATACTAAGCTTAACCTTCCTCATTATACTGCCCCTTCTTTTTCAAGTTCAGTGAAGCCTGGCCACACTGCAGATCACCTGTTCCTGCGTTGTGTTCCACCAGTGACATCACAGCCACTACAGAACTCTACCGCACAGCAAAGCCAGCACAGAGTGGATCAGATAAGAACAGATTTTTGCCCAAGAAGTGGCAGTTTCGAAAAGCTCTTTTTTACAATCAGGGTTCCAGAATTAAGCCACATCTACAATCCTGGGCAGGATGAACCTCGGAGGTGGGGGGGGGGGGCGGCGCGCGGGGGAGAGAAGCTATAGGGGCATGACTGCCCCATAGCACCTCCTGCTGGACAAATGTGGCACTGTCAGCATTCCCTGAGGCAGGTTTCCTCAGCTCTCCACACACAGATCTGTATGGGAGATGTGGCTTAGCCCTGTGGCAAAAAATCAAACACAGGGTACACCTTCCTGGGTAGCAGAAGTCCAACTAAAACGTCCCAACAAACAAAAAAGTTTCTTCTGCCCTTGAGGGCTTCTTTTCAGTCCACTCTCCGGGTCTTGTTCCATAAAGAGGACTACCTTTGAGAGTCTTTCTGGCTCTGGGATAGAGCATCTGGCCTCCAGGCTGGTTCCCCTGGAGGACTGTTCTCAGCCCGATAGGCTGTTCCTTGTGTCTTCCCCAGCGCTGATACAGAGCAATAGGCCCTCAGGCTGGTTCCACCCTGGAGTACCTGGCCTCTTGCAAACCCTGGTTCAGGGCTTTCCACAAAAGCCTCCCCATTCCCTGTAATTCCACTACAGACTGATCTTTCAGTTCTTTCATAAGGCCTAGGAGTCCATTCAGCTGTCACCTCCTTAGTCCTGTCCCCTCAGACTGGGAGGCAGCTAATTAATTATGGCACAGGTGTGTCTAGCCCCATCTCTCCTTAAAGGGGCCAATTACCTTGTGTGATAATCAATCCTGGTGAAAGAGTCATTCTATCTAGTTACTACTAACTGAAGAACGAGAAATCAGGATCAAGCCCTTTGCTTCCTTTCAAGCTATATATCAGAGAAGGAAGAGCCCCAGGATCCTAGAGAATCAGCATATCCGGCTACTCTCAGAGTTCAAGTTCCCAAGTTGCTTCTTTTGTGCTGTTTACTGAGAGAGACAACACAGGATTTGGACCCTTATTTTCAGTTTTGATCCTGTTGGGCTTGCACTGTCTGAGGAGTGGAGCTTTGAAATTTGGGGTTCATTTGGTCCCACAACTCAAAGTGAAATTCATCTGAAACTGCTGAGCTGAATTCATATTAAAAGAGGTAAAACCTGTTGGTTTAGATGTGAAACATTAGCCCATGCTCACCACCAGTTTTGGGCCCTGCCTATGACCAAGATTTCCATGTGAAGGGGGAATGCTGTGGGCTCGCAGGGCTGCACATTAAAAAAAAAAAAGTTGCCAATAAACTGCAAGCCTGCCAATATCCAAAACAATTAACACCGCAGTCAATTGGATGGATTTGGTTCCAGGCAAAATATTTCCATTAATAGAAAGTTGTCATTAACAGACTTGCTGTTAAAATAGGAACCTGCAACCATCTACCATCAAAAAGTGAAAATAACTGTCAGCAAAAGCAAAAGAAAAAAGCACCAGGTTACCAGAGGTGATACTATGCAACATCAGCAGGCCAGCCTCGCTGTAAAGTGGCATTTTGGTGCTGGGCTTTTTCCAGTCCTTCCCCTGAAACCTCTGACTGAAAAAAGATGGGAGGCACACACAGGTGCTGTAAAAGCTATTAATCAACAGCTCTCCCAGATCTGTGATGCACTCCTGGAGCTACAAAATTGTACCTCCAATGATACGGTTTGCTCAGAGGCAAAAAGACTGCAAGAGAAACTGTCTACTTATTCTTTCATGGTAGCCCTCACTGTGTGGTACAAGGTGTTGAACAAAATCAGCACAATGAACAAGCAGTTTCAGGGAAATGATATGGAGGTTAGTATGGAATGCAGATTAATACAAACAGCAGCAGCAGCCTTCCACAATTATCATGAAACAGGTTTCAAAACAGCAGTTGAGAAACCCAAAGAAATGGCACCTGACTTGGATGTAAAATGAGCATTTCCATTTATTCACTCAAGGGGGAGAAAGACAGTTATCTGAAGATGGAGGAGCTGATGGTGAAATGGATACAAAAGAGAAGTTCAGGACTGATTTTTTAAAAGTCAGTTCTGAACATTGTCATTACAGAAATTTACAGCAGGTTTAAGGAATTTTTAGCTATGTATGACTTCTTAGATATATTTCCCAAACTGGATGATGATGTTGGAAAAAGCATGTAAAGAATTGGCTCGCAACTGAAGCAGACTTATCAGCTAACTCAATGGATGAACTTGTGACATTAAAACGTATTTTGAATAAAGATGAAGTAAAAACTCTGCGTTAGATTCTGAACTTTATCATTAAGAACAAACTGCATTTAGTATTTCTCAATGTTTACACAGTATATCTCATGTATTTATCAATTCCTATTACTGTGGCTTCAGCTGAAGGCTCTTTCTCCAAGATCAGAAAGACTTATTTATAGTTTCAAATGTCATAGGAGAAATTGAGTACTTTAGCTCTATTGTCTACTGAAAGTCGAGTTGGACTTCACAGAACTGATTAATACTTTTGCAACCACAAAGGGAAAAAAAATTGTGTTGTAGTGATTCTATCTGCATACAGGGTGAACTATTTTACTTATTTTTAAATTTATGATTATTTACTTTGCCTGTTTCAGGCCACAGACTGATTTCTGGTTTAACTCATCAGTTATGTAACTGATGGTAACCTGCAGTGGATTCTACATTATCTGATTAAGTGTTTTGCTTCTACAGATATATAATTTCAGCAGGTATCACCACCAGTTAGGATTAAAAAAAAAAATAGGGTAAGTGGTAAGCCAACCAGTTGTCATTTATTTTTATCAGTATCATATTGGGAGGGTCTTAGCTTTAAATACTGCTTCCTTTCTTTGTACTTATTAGTAGAACCATCTTGTCTATTTGTGGTGATGCCAACTGAAAAGTGAAAACTGTAGGGCACTTTATGACTTATCAATGCACAGCTGAATCCACGGTTATTTTAATGATTGACTTATTTTGTAAAAGTGTGACTTTCTAATTGCTGAGTAGTTAGTAAAGGTTTTACTATTTCAAGTTTTCCTATAGCACTTGCTGAAAAAACTAAAATACTGGTGTTTTGTTTGCTACATAAGCAGATTCCATTTGGAGGATTTTCAAAGAACAATATAAAACAGGCCAAAAAGATAATTTGAAGAGCAAGTACCATAAGACTCAAACAGTAATAGCAAAAAAAGGAAGTACCTCAGAAGCAGGAAGCCTACCAAACAATCAATGGGGTCACTGGATGAGTGAGATGTTAAAAGGAGCACTGAAAGAAGCCAAGGCCATTGAGGAGAAGCTAAATGAATTCTTTGCATCAGTCTTCACTGTAGAGAATGTGAGGGAAATTCCCATACCTCAGCTATTCTTTTTATGTGACAAATCTGAGGAACTGTCCCAGATTGAGGTGTCAACAGAGGTGGTTTTGGAATAAAATGGTTAATTAAACAGTAATATATCACCAGGACCAGATGGTATTCACACAAGAGTTCTGAAGGAACTCAAATATGAAATTGCAGAACTACTAACTATGGTACGTAACCTATTATGTAAATCAGCTTCTGTACCACATGACTGGAGGATAGCTAATGTGACACCAATTTTTTTTAAAAGGCTCCAGAGGTGATCCTGGCAATTACAAGCCAGTAAGCCTAACTTCGGTACTAGGCAAACTGGTTGAAATTATAGTAAAGAACAGAATTATCAGACACATGGATGAACATGATGTGTTAGGGAAAGATCATTACAGCTTTTGTAAAGGGCAACCATGCCTCACCAATCTATTAGAATTCTTTGAAGGGGGTCAACAAACCTGTGAACAAGGGTGATCCAGTGTATCTAGTGTACTTGGACTTTCAGAAAGCCTTTGACAAGATCCCTCACCAAAGGCTCTTAAGCAAACTAAGCAGTCATGCGATAAGAGGGAAGGTCCTCTTGTGGATCAGTAATTGGTAAAAATACAGGAAAGAAAAGGCAGTAATAAATGGCCAGTTTTCAGAATGGAGAGAGGTAAATAATGGTGTTCCCCACTTCAGGTGATCCGTTTCAGGGATCTATACTGGAATCAGTGCTGCTCAATATATTCATAAATGATCTGGAAAGGGGGTAAACTGTGAAGTGGCAAAGTTTGCAGACAATACAAAATTCCTCAAGATAATTAAGTTCAAAGCAGACTGTGAAGAATTACAAAGGGAGCTCACAAAACTGGGTGATGGGGCAACAAAACAGCAGATGAAATTCAATGCTGATAAATGCAAAGTAATGCATACTTGAAAATATTATCCCGATTATACATACAAAATAATGTGGTCTAAATTAGCTGTTACCACTCAAAAAAGAGATCTTGGAGTCATCATAGATAGTTCTCTGAAAACATCTGCTCAATGTGCAGCGGCAGTCAAAAAAGTGAAGTGAATGTTAGGACCCATTAGGAAAGGGGTAAATAAATAAGACAGAAAAAATTTGTAATGCTTCTATATAAATCCATGGTACACCACCTCTTGAATAATGCATGCAGTTCTGCTCACCCCACCTCAAAAACATACATTAGACATTAAAAGATACAGAGGAGGACAATAAAAGTGATTAAGGGTATGGAACAGCTTCTATATGAGGAGAGATTAAACAGACTTGGACTGTTCAGCTTGGAAAAGAAATGACTAAGGGAGGCTATGATAGACATCTAGAAAATCATGAATGTTCTGGAGAAAGTGAATAAGGAAGAGTTATTTACCCCTTCATATAACACGAGAACCAGGAGTCACCCAAAGAAATTAATATGCAGCAAGTTTAAAACAAATAAAAGGAAGTCTCTCTTCTCAATGCACAGTCAATATGTGGAACTTGTTGCCAGGGGATGTTATGAAAAGAATTGGATCTATCCTCCATGAATTTATCTATCAATGGCTATTAGCTACGATGGTCGGGGATGCAACCCCATGCTCTGGTTGTCCCTAAGCCTTGGACTGCCAGATGGGGGGACTGGATGACAGGGGATGGATCACTTGATGATTGCCCTGTTCTGTTTATTCCCTTTGAAGTGTCTGGCTCTGGCCATTGTCTGACCCATTATAGCCATTTTTATATTCTTCTGTAATTAAGCATATTTGTTAACTTGCTTTAAACCATGCACTTGCAGTTGGGGTTATCAGCCGAAATAATTCATAAATTAGGTGCAATGTATAAACTGTATCTCCCTTGCCTTTTAGTATGATAGATATAATAAAAAACAACATTATCAATATTATAATTAATTCTGTTTTAATTTTGGATTCCCCCACCCCAAGTGTGACAGGGAAAATTATACTTAAAACAGCACCAGACTAGAGAGTCTTCATTCTTTATATAAATTATAAATCACAGCAAAATACTGAAATAGTAGCCAAATTTTAAACTCTTAAAATCCATAATTTTCCAAAGGTCTAATTAGCCTCTATGCTTCTGGAAGGTTGTTTTCTTAAATAATGACATCCAAGGCCCCCAAAATACCCACTCTTCCCACCCCAAATAATGGGACTATAGAACCAGTCCTTACTGCAGTACTTTGCATATTAGTTTGCACAGTGCATTACAAATGTGCTGGACGCTATGGTAGAAGTGCTTCAGAAATCCTAAAATGCATTAGTAGAACCACTATTGTAAGTTGTGCTGTGTGTGGATACATCAGAATGGTTCTTCCAAAACCATTGGCTGCTGTGGCTGCTCTAAATGGTTAAAAATGATGCAACAAACCATTTTATGTAATGAAATTTCTGAAATGGCTTCCTCACTTAGGATAGATGCACCCTAAGGGTGCCTTTACTGTACAGTTAGTCCAGGTGATTGGCACCCAGGTGTGAGCAGCCACTGCAATGCCCTACATGAGTTTCTCTGTCTTCACTGGTGCTACTGTCCCTTGTGTGTATCACTAGGATTCTGGGAGTATTTCCCAGGGTTCTTTGTACTGCAGGAAGCTGAGCCTCTGATTCTTTTCCAGTGAGTTATGGGAGGACATGTCTGTCCTCCTGAGCAGGCAAGGGGAATTGTGGGAAGGCACTGGAGAACTATCAGTACTCAAATGTCTCAGCCTGTACCCTCAATGAAAAATATACAGGTTACCAGCCTGAATGAAAGCAGAACCCAGGCTCTAACCCAGGTGTCGGCAACCTTTCAGAAGTGGTGTGCCGAGTCTTCATTTATTCACTCTGATTTAAGGTTTTGCGTGCCAGTAATACATTTTAACGTTTTTAGAAGGTCTCTTTCTATAAGTCTATAATATATAACTAAACTATTGTTGTATGTAAAGTAAATAAGATTTTTAAAATGTTTAAGAAGCTTCATTTAAAATTAAATTAAAATGCAGAGCCCCCCCGGACTGGTGGCCAGGACCTGAGCAGTGTGAGTGCCACTGAAAATCAGCTCGGGTGCTGCCATAGGTTGCCTACCCCTGCTCTAACCCATACCTCTATCTCTGCTAGCTATCATGGGTTCAAGGCACCACTAAGAGGTGTGAGAGGTTTGTGTGAATGAATGGGAGTTGGGTTAGGGGCAACACCCAGGTAAAAGCCCAGGCTAACTTTGCAGTGAAGTCACACCCTAAGAGAAGGACGCAGCTGCCAGCATTACCACCAAAGCAGTGCTCTTCAATAAAATAGTCTGGACTGTAAGAGTTTATACAAGCAAGACAGTTCTTGCTTTAACAAGAGGTCTGGCTGGATGAATCTAGGGCTGGGCTAACTAGCTGCAAGAAGTTTGGAGTCCACCTTAAGGAGGGTTTTGATTAAGCTTTTACAACCTTGTTCTGCAAAACATTACTGAACCCTAAAGGTATATTTATTTTTTAATCTCTTGCAATTCTTTTCATGTAAGCAATTTTTTCTAGAATGTCAGTTTTCAACTGGAAATGCTGTTCTGGGAGAAAACAGAAGTTGACAGCTAAATAGGTTTTGTTCATGAATTTTTGTTGTTCCCGTCACTTAAAGGTGCACTCCCTTCTCTCATCAGCAACCTTCCTTCCATAGATCAACCCTGCAATAACCTCTCCACAAACTCAGCTAAATGGGACTATGTGATGGACTTAACCCTATCACCTGGAAGGTAAGGGAGAGAACCCCACTTAGTCATGTGCCACACCTGGGTCGATGTGTGATTAAGTGTCTCCTGGCTAGAGGAAGTGGAGTTATGCCTTATAAGTAGACCAAGGGGGCTCAGCTGTGCAGAAAGATTGCCAAGGAGATAGGAGTCTCTGGTGGAGAGAAGCCCTGGGACAGGGTTTAACAGTCAGGAAACAACAGAGGAAGAACACTACAGGACCACATTAGGTTCCAACTGGGCAAACCCTGAGGTAGAGCCAACAAGAGAATTACAGTGAAGCCTGAGAGGGGCTGAAGGATTATACATTTGAAAATTTGTTTGAACTTAATTTGGGCTTGTTTGTGCTGCCCTGGAAGAGTTTTAGATTTTCATGTGACTTGGCTGGAGGGCGAAACCACAGAACATGCAGAAGGAGAAGATGCAGGCTGACAGAGAATATTGCAGGTTCCAGGGAGCCTAGTAGGTGCCAGATGATGACCCCATGCAATACTGCGACCAGAGAAGAGGGGGTGCCCACAAAAGTATGCTACTACAGGCTCTTTTGGGATTACATCAAAGCTGCTCCTTACTCTGCTAGAGGAGATGGTGTACGGTGATACATGGTACTCCTCCTATGGGATAAGTGTACTATATCTAATGAATTTTGAACCTTCAGCAAGCCAAGGAGCAAGACATTGAAATTGGAGAATCAAACTCTAATCTATTGTGTGGCAACACGGAGTCAACCCTGAATGGTATCTCAATGCCAAAAAACAGTACACAAAATACATTATGCTTTCTTATTTCCTCCATTTGAAAGTTAAACAATAAAATTAGATTATTTGCCAATAACTGGAATGTTCTTATCAAATCATCTGCACAGTTCCATACTCAGACTTGGTGAAGCACTTGCATAACTCCAAAGAATGGGGAAAATATAGCAGAAATCCAGACAGGGAACAACTGCTTATAACATAGAATCATCATCTAAAGCCACTTCATTGTGATCAAGACACTTGATATCCCTGATCAGGATTTTTTCACCCGAACTTACTTCTTAATTCCTCCTTCTTCCTTTAGTATAGCCCGTTTGTTCTTATCCACAGTAAGATTTAGCAGAACTCCACAGGCAGAAAAGCAGACATCTTGATGTTTGGCATCGAGCAAAGCAATCATGAACTTGTATACTGGATTGTACAGCAGGAAACAAAATCATCCTCAAGAAACATGGACTTGCACTATACTTATTACATTTGTATGCTTAGAGGACAGTAAGAAGCATTTAACTGAAGCACACAGAACTACCTGAAAATGTTACCTGATGACATATTGTTTGTAATGTTGCTGGAGTAGTCTGAGATTGGATATCAGCCATAACCCCATGAAGTTTGAGTATGGAGGATTCCCCTAATCCCGCAAAAGGAATTCTGGTTGCCTTTTATATTTGTGTTTTCATATTAAATTGCTATATTTTTACTGTTGGTTTTGCCAAACTGAAACTAAAACAATACTGCAATTTATTTTTCAGTTAGCAGTACTACATCCTGATATTGGAATAAATCGTAGGGGCAAAATTTTCAAACTGTGATACCTAAAAATTAGGTACATAAATCCATCTTTTGGGCACCAGAGGTGTTGAACTCCCATTTACTTCAGTAGGAGCTGCAGGTGCTTATCACTAGGGCTCCGTGTCTGTCACGGAGGTCGTGGAGGTCACGAACCTCCGTGACTTCTGCAGGGGCCAGTGGGGCTGACCAGGGCTGCCCAAGCAGTTGGCTCAGGCCAGCTGCTGGAGTGGCCCAAGTGACAGCCACACCAACTGCAGCTGCTCCAGCTGGAAGCACAGGGACCGCTGCTGGCTCCATGGCTGCTCCGGCAACCCGCCTGGGGACTGCTGTCTCCGGGCTGCTCCCGTGGTCCGTGGCCCCTGGCAGCTGGTGCCACTGGCCCTGGGCGCACCTCCCCCCCATATTTAATCACAGATATTTTTAGTGTAAGTCATGGACAGGTCAAGGGCCATGAATTTTTGTTTATTGCCCCTGACCTGTCCCTGACTTATTAAAAATAACATGACTAAATCGTAACCTTACTTGTCACCTCTGAAAAAAATCAAGCCACTTATATCTGGATGCCTAAAAGGGGGTTTAGGTACTTACTGTCAGGCACCGAAGTTTGAACATTTTGTCTGTTGGGCCTAGCAAGAGTTACATCTGAACATGCTCCTAGCCTGGGGCAGAGCTCCAGATAAGAGAGAAATGCCATTACAGGCCAAGAAATTTAGAGAGAGGCAGTGTTTAGTTAAACTTTTACAAGATACTTTCTCCAGATTGCAAAGATCTGGCATTTGCCCTAAAGCTCCTCTGCCATGAAAAGGAAAAAAAGTGATGAGAATGCTGGCATCTTACACCTCACCCAGAGGCAAAAGGTGGCTCTCTCTTGGTGAGGGTGACAAATGTTTTAAGATGCATGCCACAGAATGCTGTGCACACTGTCACATGTGGGAACCAGAGACCCACAAATATGAACCCTTATGAATATTTAAGCTGGAGTTTCATTTTACACAGAACTATTGAGGACATCTAGTCAAAGTGAACTTTAGGAATCGGGGGAGCCAGGGGAAAATTTCAAGACTATTTATTATTTTAAAGAACAAACAATTTCTGCGGGTGTAGATTTTTTTCCTTGGGTGAAGAAAAATGTATTCCCACACTCATTATCTAAGTTTTAATAACATTCATCTAAATTAAACCAATAAATGCTGTTTATGCTGTAGCTATAGGATTTTCAGTGCCATATTACATGCTTGTATGTTTCGAGTTATAGATGCTGAGTGGCACAGGTGCCTATCTAAAGAGCTTACACAGAATCACTACTAATGCAAAAGTAACTTACCCTTCCTTTGTATGATGAAGTCACAGATTTCAAGGTATTGGGAAAGATTGCCAAAGACTCTAACAGCCTCCAGAATTCCATCCATATTGCTGCTCATTAGCAGCTTTAGAAGTACTATTTGTTTGCAGAGAAAAAAAAGGTAGAGTTATCATTACTTATAATGTATATAGCACCAAATGTGCCACTAGGGTCTTTACAGATACACGGAGAACCCTTCAAGGCAGGATTCTCAAACTAAATGGACAAAGTAAACATGGGAGGGGGGGGGGGGGCTGGATGAAAAGACAGGACAGACAGACAGACAGACAGAAAGGTGATGCTTAGAGAACATATATTGTTGGTTCCATTTTTAATCATCTGTTTAGTCAATACTTCCTTGAAAGGAGGAGTAGGGTTTGTGTTTTAAGGAGGGATGTGAAGGGGACAATGGGAAGACACACCCTGAACTGGCTCAGAGAAGAATTTCCAGACACAGAAGGTGGATTGGATCAGAATGGTATAAGACTATACACACAGCAGTTAATTTGACAATGGGGGTGCAGTGAAGGGGGTAAGTGGAGGAGTGAAATGAGACTAAAGCATACGGATCTGGCAGGAGCTAAGTTGTGTGGGCCTTTGAGACTTGTCATGGGGAGAAAAGCTGGTGAAGAGAACTGAAAAAGTGCTATGCATGGTTGGAGTGATGGGCAAGGTAGATTATTTTGCTCTGTTTTTGCTGTGATGTTTTGAATGGACTGAGGTGAGAATTCAGAAGGCCAAAGAGGAGGCAACTTCCATAGTGTAGGAGAGAAATGATCAGGGCCTGGAAAGGGGGATTTTGCAGTGGTAACAGAGAGAAATGAAGGATTCTCAGACATTCTAGTGGGAAAACTGCAGGATTTAGGGACTGTTTGTGGGAGAGAAGACGAGGAAATCACAGGGAATATCAAGATTGCAAGTCAGTCTCACCGGAAGGATGGTAAAGTTGCTGACAGTTATAGAGAAGGGAGGGATAGATGATGATAAATGCATCCCTTATTCAGCTAATATTCCCACTGATGGCAATGGAAGTTTTGTCTTTGTTAAGGACTGCAGGACTGGATCCTTAATCACCCAAGATCTATCAGGGATGTTACATCTTTATATAAATACAATATTTATATTAAAAATACAAATCTTTTCTTAGTAACTAGTTTGTGCCATCAAAATATCTACATTTAGAGAGGTGGTACTGTTTAGCAATAATCATTCAACTACAAATCTTGCTTCCCCATCAGCTCTCCTGTAAAACCGGATACATTCTAATGGTGTTATCAGCATTAAATGTCCAACCATTTTTTTACTCTCATTTTGAAAAAAAGTGAACTTAAATGTACACTACAGTTCTATGAATGAATAATGCTTTTCCTAAGTAAAACAGATTGTCAATAAAGTGATTCTGATTACAGAAATAGAAACAGTAAGCTCTACATAGCATATGACAGTTCATATAGTATCTGCTCCCTGTAGGCAAAAAATGGTTACTAACCTGTTCTAACTGTTGTTCTCTGATATGTGCTGCACATGTCCATTCCACGACCCATTCTCCTTCCCCTCTATATCAGAGTCTCTCCAGTATGAAGGAAATGAGAAGGGTTGGGGGCAGCTCTGCCATTTATACCATCATACAGCAGCACAAGGCAGCAGAGGGCACATGCACCGTCCTGACAACGGTACATGAGTGTGCGCACTCCTGACGTGGAATGGATATGTTCAATACATCAGAGAACAACGGAAACAGACCAGGTTTGTAATTTTTTTTTTCTTCAAGTGATTGCCCATGTCCATTCCACTTCAGGTGACGTACAATCACTTCAATCTGGAGGCAGGATTGGCATCTACATGAACAACAATTGAAAGACTACACATCTAAATCTGGTGTCATCTCTAGACCAGTGTTTCCCAAACTTGGGACGCCGCTTGTGTAGGGAAAGCCCCTGGTGGGCTGGCCGGTTTGTTTACCTGCCTCATCCGCAGGTTCGGCTGATCGCAGCTCCCAGTGGCTGCGGTTCACCGCTCCAGGTCAATGGGAGCGGCGACCAGGACGTCCCTCGATCCACACCACTTCCAGCGGCTCCCATTGGCCTGCAGCAGCAAACTGCGGCCAGTGGGAGCCGCGATCGGCTGAACCTGTGGATGGGGCAGATAAACAAACCGGCCCGGCCCGCCAGGGGCTTTCCCTACACAAATCGGCTTCCCAAGTTTAGGAAACACTGCTAATGAGAAGCAAAAGTTTGCACTGAAGACCAAGGTACCGCTCTACAAACGTATAAAATAGGCACATGGGCTAGAAAGGCTGCAGAGGCATGTGAGATTGGTTGAATGAGCTAGCACCCTATTTGATGGAGTCACATTGGTCATGTCATAGCACTAACGTATACAAGAAGAGATCCACAACAAGGTTCTTTGAGATGAGTCCGGAAGGCCTTTCATTCTTTTCTGCAATTGCCACAAACAATTGTGAAGACTATTTAAAGGGTTTAGTCCTGTCCAAGTAAAATGCTAATGCTCCCCTAACATCTGATATGCACAGTCTTTTATCATCCTTATTAGCATGAGGCTTAGGGAAGAAATTTGCTAAATAAATTGTCTGATTGATGTGGAAGTGAGAAAACAGTTTGGTCAGAAATTTTAGATGAGGACATAGGTATACACTGTCCCTGTAGAAGACTATTCAGAGGGTCAAGCACCAAAGCTCATAATTCACCCATTCTCCTGATGAATGTGATTGCCATCAAGAAGGCTACTTTCATTCAGAGATGGAGCAATGAACAAGTAGTCAGCAGTTCAAAGAGAGGACCCATGAGCTTTACCACCAGATTCAAGTCCCAAAAGGGAATAGGATCTTCTATTTGTGGATATAAATGCTCCAAACCCTTCAAAAACCTGAGTGACATATGACTGGAGAAAAGTGAATGATTATCAATTGAAGGGTGGAAAGCAGAGATAGATGGACCCTGCTGGAACTAATGGCAAGGCCTTGCTGTTTCAAGTATAACAAATAGTCCAGCACATGCTGACTCGGAGCCAAGATTGGGGAAATCCCTTTTTGCTGGAACCAGACAGAGAATCTGTTCCATTTAGACAGGCAAATATACCTAGTAGAAGGTTTCCATAGACTTAAGTGAACTGCTAGAGTCTTTGAGGATATGCAGCTTGTAGTTTGTCTGCTGCGAAACAAGCATCAGTCCCTCAAAAGCCAGGTCCTGGATGGCTTGTTGGACCTCTGGAGGAAAATCTGATGATTGGAGTCATGAACATCTGTGCACTGTGATGGCCAACACCACGGCTCTAGTTGCAGAATCCACAGCATCTAGTGCAGCCTGAAGCAAGATCCTGGACACCATCTTTCCCTCAACCACCATAGCAAGAAACTCTTGTCCCATCTCCTCTAGCAACTTGTCCATGTTTTTTAAGTATATACATCATGAGTTTACTAAAATAAATATTCAGAAAGTTCTTTTAAGTTCCCCCTAAAGGCCAAGCACTTGGAAACTCATGTAGCTCACAAACCACTTGAGGTCCACAACCCTCTTTCTTGTGCCCACTACTGCCAGTGAAATAACAAGCAGATTTGTCCTAACTGGCAATGATGAACACTGCAGCTAGTCTGAAAGCTTTTTCTGCTGGCTTCTTCCTGTTCAGCAGTTTTACATGAGTAGCTCACATGACACAACTGTAGTTTCCAGCAGAAACAAACTGGTCTCCAGCATTGCCTAGGAGTCATGAATTGCCCTTTTAGTTTTCAGTGCGCAGTCAAGAAAGCTGCAGGAGCCACCATTCATCAGCCTTCACAGGAATCTTCTGCAGTGAAAGAGGGAACCACTGAAACCCACCCCTCTTCATGTAAGGGGGTACGCCAATGAGAACCTTCCACTCTTCCTTTCTTTCCCCATAGAGGAGAGAGAGAACAGTTTGGTCTCATTTACATCCTTCCTTTGGATGTTGTTATACCATAGATTACTTAACTGTGGCTCAGCCTTCTTAAGTGATACATTTTTTGTTTTTGGAACGCACCTGACTGTGTCACACAGCAGGTATTTCTCAACATGTTTCCTGGGGTAAGCAAGTGTCAGGCCCTCCTGCTACAAGGGCTGCACTTCTCCTACAAATTACTTAGTTCAAACAGTGAAATGAAGGGAAGAGAGGAATGTGGGTGGTGGCAGAGATGGTGATGAGATTGACAACACAGGCTGACAATAACTGATACAGCCTGTGGTATGGTCTCTGAGCTGGAATTTGGCTCCTGGCCAATAGTTATTAGGTGGCATTGGCCCTAGGCTATTTCTAAACTTGGATTTCACCACTGAACAGTTTTCTACACTTCTGCAAATCCATTTGATCAGCAAACTTGTAGAACTGCATTTCATACTGAAATGCAAAATACTGTTAAAAAGATGAGAGAAAGGTCTTAAAGCCTCATCCACTATAACAAAAAACACAAGGAAGCATTGCCTAGTGCAGCCATGGTAAAAATGGCATCTTACTTTCCAGATCTGCTCCCTATATACAGTCAGTCATGTCTGCTTATGTTAGTTACAAATGTATTAATTTTTTTCTCCTGTTAGCACTGAGCACCATTCCAGCTCTGGGGGAAAGAGATGGATTCCATTCTGGCTCATAAGACAGCCACACCATTGCTACTTAGAGAGGAAACATGGGCTAGCAGAGAGGGCACTGGGCTGAAAGTCAGGAGACATGGGTTCCAGTTCCTGGTTCTGCCATCGATCTGCTGTGTAGCCTTGGGCAAGCCACTCCCAATCTCTGTGCCCCTCCTTTTACCCTTTGTTTGTTTCAACTGTATCCTCTTCAGGGACTCTTACTGTATGTGCAGTATCTAGCATAGTGAGGCCCCAAACCCAGATGCAGCACCCAGGCACCACAACTACTTCATTATCATCACCATCATCAAATTTCCAGGGCTGATGGTTTGATCTTTTAAAACTTTTTACTTGCAAATTGAGCAAATCTGAACTGGAGTCAAAAAAACATGCAACAACCCCATAATACTATTTTCACATTTTAGATATTGAAGTTTTGAACAGCTCTACCGAAAATTGCATAACAGAAAACAATCTAGTGAGTAAGTGAATGTTTTGGGGAGAAAGGCTGTTTTTGCCAACAATGTAATATTTCACAGAGTTCTAAAGATGAGGGTCTGGCACAGGATGCATGCAGGGATTCTCTTCGGTTATGGGAAACAATTGGCTCTAAGCAATTCCTACAGGATACCACAGAATATTTTTAATGACTCTTTTCCACATTGCCCTAACAATCAAAATACACCTCTTACCCAGATATTCTAAAAGACATACAGAAGGAATTGATTTTTAAAAACCTTACACTCTGCAATGCGTAGCTTCTGGTCTTCAATTACAGAATTCCTCACTTTGTAGTAGGATAAATTGTTGATTGTTGCGGCAGCGTTGATCACCAGCTCCTCACAGTCATCAATTGACTTGTATTCTGATATTTTAAAAAAATATATACATCAGTCTTAGCTTAGAACATTGATTACAGCTCAACAAAATTAAATTCACAGCCTGTATTGTTGTGGCACCCAAACTCTGCGCAAACAAGGATTATATTGGTAATCTGCCTGGACTATGGGGGATTACATTTTATTTGCAGGAAGTGAAGCAGATTGCTCTGCCCAAGATAAACCACTGTCTGCTGGATAGAGCTAGAAAAAAGGATTAATGAAAAATATGTCCTGATTTTCAACCAGCTCCAATATTAGGGGCTGTGGACTCTGATGCCTGCACTTCTGTAGTACAGTAGAACTTCAGAGTTACGAACACCTCGGGAACAGAGGTTGTTCATAACTCTGAAATGTTTGTAACTCTGAACAAAACGTTAGGGTTGTTCTTTCAAAAAGTTTACAAGCATTGATTTAATACAGCTTTGAAACTTTAGAATGCAGAAGAAAAATGCTGCTGTTAATCATCTTAATTTAAATGAAACAATCAGTGAAATGGTTTCCTTACTTTGTCAAATCTTTTTTTCCCCCTCTAAACTTTCCCTTCGTTTTTTTAGTAGTTTAGGTTTCACACAGTACTGTACTGTATTTCTTTTTTTCCCCTTCTGTCTCAGCTGCTGTGTGATTGCATACTTCCAGTTCCAAATGAGGTATGTGTTTGACCGATCAGTTTGTAACTCTGATGTTCATAACTCTGAGGTACTATTGTAATAGCGAGTGGCACAGCAGGATTGCATTTAGTTTGAAGGCTACCTGGTAGCTGTCTCCATTCTCAGTCTATCTGTACTGCAGCTACAGCGCACCCTAATACTATTACAAACAAACAAAAACTTGTAGCAGAGACTTTGTGAATGCTGGCACTGTTGAAATTGTTCTTGCTCTTAAACCTATATAAAAGCAGGATGGAAACAATTTATAGTTCTAGCCATCATGCTGCTAGTATGCCAAATTATTCCATTTTTCAGCGAGTTGAGTTATAGCTGCTAGCAGCAGCAAGTAGCTCAGAAATACCAATAAAAGCTCCATCCTCCAAGTTCTTCTTATACAGAACTTCCCTTGATTTGGATAATAGTGTTTAAAATATACTGCATGTAAGTTTTGCAGATCATGTCTGCTGTACCAAGGCAGAACCAAGCAGAATGTGCTTGCAGAAACAGGTCCTTAATTACAAACTTTTTGTTTAAAAAATCCTCCTCTTATTTAGGGAGGAGGCAAGAAGACCATCTCACTATACGAGTTTTCAGTCTGAGATGTTCAAAAGAAAATTCCCCCAATTTACCAATCTTTTTGTGTAGTCTGGTTTATTCTTAATAATCTGATCTATAAATCCTATCAATGCATGAGGCTCCTCTGAATGTTTTGCAGGAAAGATGCTGTAAAGTTTAGTACGAAGGTGATAATTCTGCTACGGTTTAAAGTAAGTTAGTCTATACACTGTAATTATTAACATTAGCAGATTGATTTTCATATTTTAACAACATGGCAGGTTTAATTAAGGCTCTCCCAATAACAAAAGCTGAAGTAATGAAATACTGTGCCTGCCTGACAGATTGAATGAAAATAATACATGAAAAAACAAACATAATATACAAACCTCACCTAGCACCGTAACAAGCAATGCCACAATGTGATGGTTAGCTGCCAGAACAGCACCTACACTAGGATGAATGGAGAGATTGGCGAGCACTCTTATCAGTTTTATAAGGACATCTTCTGCTTCTGAAGGATGCTTTTGTTTTGATTTATTTTCTTCTCCTTCATGTTTCTCTTTTTTTGTATTCAAATCAAATTCATTGTAGGTTTGGAATAATGATATCAGGGTGTCAGCACTTCCTTTCTCTTTAAAAAATTGTTCACGGGCCTGATTGTTCTTCGCTGTTAAATTGCCAAGAATGAAAACAACACGGACAACTAAATCCTGCAATAAAATAAACAAACAAACACTGTTACACCGAGAGAAAAGTTGATGTTGCCAGTGGTTTGAAAAACATCAATATTTCATGTATTTCACAATTCAATTAAAAGCAGTTCCACTGCAAATGGAGGAACACTAAATACAGCAAAAAAGGAAATAATCTTTGCTGCTGTATTTGATTATCCAGTTTAGGGAGGAGATTTAAAAAAAAAAATCTAACAAAGGCACAGAGTTCTAGTACCATAGAGGTTATTAATCGTGGGGGTCTCCTAAATAGAAGTAGTCTATTTCTATCAAATGACCAACAACCCAACAGGATAATAGGAGAACATTTTAGATGGATATTCTCGTTATGTAACTGGGGTTTAATCCGTCTCCCAAATAAGCACAGGGTTGCTCTGATGGCCAATAGAGCCTCATAAGCATTCTACCCCGCTATTGCTGCCCTAGAAAGCCAAAGATTTTAAAGCAATGGAAGTGTCACCAGATTTCCACTAGGATGCACAAACCCAACAATGAGAATTCTGTTCAGATGGTGTCTATAAAGGTTTATTTCTTCCTGGCATTACTCTTTTAAATAAAGTGGGTTGGGGGGGAAGGGGGAATCAAGAGCCCAATGAAAGACGTCTAGTCTGCTATGTCATCGACCTCCCAATCCTAATATTACATCTCTCTTATTGCCTTCATTTTGACCACCATGGGGATACAGCAATTTGTGTGATGCTGGAGCTGACTGACTCAACTGTCATCCCAAAACAATACCCTCGACTCCCAATGGCTTTTAATTCAACAGTATGGGCTAGTTTAGCTTTCAGAATTCTCCTGGTTTTCTCTTCCAAAAATGAAATTACTCAAAAAACTGTCTCCACCCCTATCAAAACCTGGCTAGTTTCCAAAACAGAAAGTCTAAGTACTGGCTCTGTTTCAACAGTACAGGGAAAGAAGTGGCAATCCCCTGAGTGCAGCATAGTTTGTCTACCCCTAACTGCTAAATGACTGTACTTGCACTAAACCACTGCTTTGGCAAACACCCTACATGTCGTTTTTCTTGAAATACCGGAGTTCCATTCAGACACTGTAATCCCCCAAGGAATAAATCCCATACTTTATCAAGAGACATTCAAAGAATAGCAACTTGTTACTGTACACATATTAAAATTTGATTGATTAAATTGCAAAAATTTCTCTAGGGATCATATATTCCTCCACTAATAATTTCTCCTCTTTTGAGCCACTCCCACAAGGCCTTGCATCACAGAGATACACCTATGTCCAAAGACAAGAAGATAAGCTTCAGAGTTCATCACAACTACTAATGAACTTGCCAGGCAGGGGGGTCATCATTGAGTGACCTCTAGTCTCTCTCCCCCACTTTGGGCTAGACACTGTGCGACTCTCTATGCATTGCTCCCACTATTATTATTTTGCAAACATCTGAATGTCACCAACACAAGATATGTATAAACTTTTTTATTTTATAAGTAACCGTCTACAAGCTTTTTACCTAAGCCATCACAATCCCCAATGGAAGCCTTCTCACAAAGGCTACAAGGAATTTGAAACAACAAACAGTTGATGAATCAGAAGAGAGAAGTGAAAAAAGAAGGCAGTCTAGTTTAACTTACTTTATATTGACTTTCTAATTTTGGTTAAAACAGTACCGGCTTAGCAACAGCCCTAGCCAATCAGGGAATAGACAGACAGGTACTGTAAAGCAATCAATTTAACTGATATTTTGAGACGTGTGATCTCAGCTATGTTTTCCACCTACAGACTATGAAACAAGCCTACAAGATATTATTTCTTTTTAAGCATAGTACATCCTGTTTTAAATAGTATTACAGAAGTTTCATTATCATCCACTGACAGAGTTTAAACAACAGTCAAATACAAGAAATGCAGATGTGACTTTATACTGCAGAAATTATAGGCTATATTTTTACATATTTTTGGCTAAATTTTCAAAAATGTGCATGCCATATGCACAACTAAGCTGAGTAATGTGAAACCAAAAACCACTGTTCAGACAGCCATAAATGGAGTTAGAGATGAATGCCACTTTGAAAGCAGTTACAAGAATAAATGTACATAGACACATGGGATATTTGCACATCTGAAAAAAATCATCAGTAGGTGGGGCTAGCATATAGCCAAACATTTGGAATATTTACTGAGAAAGCATGCAGGCATTTCAGGCATATTTGCAAATAAACTAAATACATAAGTATTTATCAGGTTGATTTGTACAACACAGGTAGAGCCCTACATGGATACAAAAATCTGGATCCACATCTAATCTGTGATCTGCAAGGATGGTGAACAATACAACCACATCCACATCTGCAGATGCAGATCCCTGCAGATATAAAGCAGACATCTGTGGACTCGCAGGGCTCTAAACATAGGTTTCAACAGGTAAGACATACCTTTTGAAACTAGCACACACAGATTTAGTACTGAAGACAGAGGAACACTATAATTTATTTGTATTGAAGCACACTTTTTAAATTGAACAGGTTTTTCAAAGCTATTGATTTGACAAACTTTATTTGATCTGTGTTAGGAGCTAGACTAAGCATGGGTGACCTATTTCTTAAGAATTTGGATCCTGTCCCTAAAATGAACCCAAATCTGATTTGCAGTCTATATTTGATGCCAAATAAAATAATTTGTATAAATGAATTCCAAAAATTCCAGAAGAGTGGGACCTAAGGGGGGATATGAGAGAAGTCTATAAAATCATGAATGGTCTGGAGAAAGTTAATAAGTAAATTTTACTCCTTCAAATCACACAAAACTAGGGGTCACCCAATGAAATTGATAAGCAGGTTTAAAACAAACAAAAGGTACTTTGAAGTACTTCTTCACATAACGCACAGTCAACCTGTGGAACTCATTGCCAGGGCATGTTGTGAAGGCCAAGACTATAGCAGGGTTCAAAAAAGAACTAGATAAGTTCCTGGAGAATAGGTCCATCAATGGCTATAAGCCGAGATGGACAGGGATGCTACCCCATACTCTGAGTGTCCCTAGCCTCTGTTTGCCAGAAGCTGGGAGTGGACAACAGGGGATGGATCACTTGATGATTGCCTGTTCTGTTCATTCCCTCTGAAGCACTTAGCACTGGCCACTGTTGGAAGACAGGATACTGGGCTAGATAGACAATTGGTCAGACTCAGTATGGCCATTCTTATGTTCTTAAACTATGTTCCTTTTCTCTAAGTTCCAGGAAGGGATGACTGAATACCATGAGTTCTTTCTTGTTCAATTTAATAGACAGACAATCACATATGTAATTGTGTACTAGCACCAAATATGAACATGCAGTTGGAAGAGCAAAAGCACAGTGTGCATATACTCATTAACTCTTAATTTTGAAATTGCTGACAATAACGATAATGCACATTTGTCCATTTAGATGGACAAATATTTTTGTCCAGTTAAGTCTAAAAGTCTATCCCTTACATTGTACTTACAACAAAGGTTAGTATTTGTATTTGCTGACCCCCAGAATTTTAGAGAGATTTACATTAGAAACTAAAAAGAATAGCTATATTAGATTTTGGTGGTTAAAGATGACTGGTAATGCTAAACTTCATAAGCCATTTTTCTGAAATTCATGATGAAAAATCCTCAAAAGTTCAGATTTATTAAGCAGAAAGGGGAAAGCAAAGTGACTAAATAATCTTGACCTAAATATGTTTTATCAAGTGACCCAATAATTTTTTTTCTATCTGCAGTATGTGATGTGCTATCACCAGACATGAGACTAAGCCCAGTTTTTGGTTTGTTGGACATCTGTATCAGGCTCTGAGGGGAAAAAAGTATCAAGCCAATAATGCAGATTCCACCACAGGGCTCTATTGTGTTCCTGGCTTTAAACTAAGTTTGCTCTTCCTCTTCTAGTACAAACCCTGATGGAGGGTGGTGGTAATTCTGCCAGTCCTCCACAGGGGTGAATCCCTCCTGCAATACAAGTAATAACTCAAAGTGGTCTGAAAAAAGTGGACAGTCTATAATATTCTACAAAAATGAAAGCAACATAATATCTGCCTGTTGCCCATCAATTGCACCCCCTCCAGTCTCCACATCAATTCTGCCACACCTCTGCAGCTCTTTCACCCCCCCCCCATCTCTCCCAGGGCTGGTGTGGAGGCTGCAGCAGGGTCCTCGCTCCCCCTTCTCAGGCAAGGTGTTTCAGTGAGAGAGAGAGAGAGACAGGGGAAGAAAGAGAGGCAGAGGAACCGTCCCATTGCTCAGAGGAGATGGGCGAATAGGAACGGAGCTACCTATAGATGATAGGATTTTTCTTCTCCCCCATCCCCTCCTGTGGGAAGGGTTTTGGCTCTTGGGGAGGAGGGGGGGGAAGAGCTTTGCTGATTCTTGCAGAAGCCCTGACTGACTACTTACACCCCAGAAGGCAGAAAGTGGGGAAGCAGCCAATCACAAGGGTTTCCCCCCCCCCAACAACAACAGTTCAAGTTGTTGAAATTTTATTTGCTGGGTATATGACCCATTTTGACCATTAAAAGATAAAAAGTGGGGTAAACTTATTCTTCACTTTGCCAGCACTAATAAATCTGACCTTCTGCTTTGCAAAGTATTCTCTGAAAGAAGATACGAGTGTGGACCTGACAGTCTGCCCAGAGGCAAACAAACAGCAGTCATGTCAGGCTGTGAGGGAACTTTTCCCAACACATTCAGGACACATCTTGAAGTGACATACCAGAAATGACAATTCAAGGACAAAACCAGAAATAATCAGTGACCCAAAATGAACATTGTTGCACTTAAAAATGTACACCTTATTTCTAGCCTGAACTTGTCTAACTTCCATTTCCGATCACTGGCTCTCATTATGCCTTTTCTGCTAGATTAAAGAGTTGCCTACTATCAGAAAAGTCATCTCTTAACTTTCTCTTCAATGAACTAAATAGCTTGAGCTTCTCACTATAAGGCATGTTTTCCAGATCTGTAATCATTCTTGTAGCTCTTTTCTGAAC